ATGATGATGATGATGATGATGCATAATGCTTTGCCTCATCTGCATCCGCAGTGCTGACGAGCGGCTGGAGGAGCAACGTGAAGTGATGGTTACGGTCGACTTCACCGGCCGTGTTTTCTGGAGTCCGCCGGCAATCTTCAAGTCGACCTGTACCATTGATATCCGCAACTTTCCCTTCGACTATCAGAATTGTCATCTCCGATTCGCCTCTTGGACGCACGACGGTCACCGAATGGACCTGCAATTCTTCAACAATGAGACCACTGTGGACACCGAGGACTACACCGAAAGCAATGAGTGGGAGATCACTGCCAAACCTGCTCGCCGGTTCGTCAACATGTACAAGAACTGCCCCAAGCCCTATCCGGTGTTGACCTTCTTCCTCTTGTAAGTTATACACGATAGTTCGGTATGTGTAAAACTTCCAACTGGGGGGCCTTGTTGAAGGTATGCTTTGACCTTCATTCATGAAAACTAGCTCGTCTTTAACAACATTTTAGTTTCAAAGGGATCGAAAGCTTGACTTTTGCAGATTTTAGTGAGTCAGTTTCCATTAGTAGGCAGTTAAAGCTCGGTTCCTCGATCATTAAACCTTAATGACTTTCGACAGAGGGGTTATGACTGGTGGTTTCGTAACCTAACTTTCACTCGTAAAAGTTTATATCTCATTAGCTAGACCAGATTTGCCTACCGACTTATGCAATCTGGCTTCTGCTTTTCATAAGGTCGTTAAGCCTTAATTACCCGAGCCTGACATTGGGCTTTTGTAATTACTCTGATTTAGGGCCGAAGTTGCATACAGGCGCACACACTCATACACATTCAGGTAAAAGTAGTATGGTCAGTATGTGATGACTTATCAAAACATTCTATATATATCTGTATCTATATGTTTTCGTTTTTTAGGTATGAGTATACATAAGAGGTAGTATAGAGCCGGACAGTCATCTTGACCTGGTGTTTGTTAACTTTAGATTTTTTGCAAGAATGAGTTGCAGCTCTGATGGCGTCCGTCCTTTGATGGACGAAAGCTCAACCTGCTTTAACCAGAAACGAGGAAGGAGGTCTCGTGGACTGCGCCAAACTGAAGAACGATGGAAATCGGCCGTCGTCTTTCGGTGAGATCAACCAAAAGATCCCTTCATCAGGCGCTTACATACGATACGAAAGTCTCCACAGTAATGCTATCCTAAAAGTTGCATCGAAACCCAGCTACACGTAATCCCCTAGGCCATGCTACAATGATCTCGTTGCGCTTGACAAGAAAATGAATCAAAAGGAATAAAACAAGTCTTTGAAAAATTTCAACCCTTTCTATCGGAATTTCATTTTAATAACCAACTGTGCTTGTGCTGACAAATCTTATGTGTTTGTGCCGATAAATCGATGCACTACTTGCTTGTAATTAGTAGCATGTTTGCCTTTTAATCAGCACTCCTGCAGATACAATCTCACTAGACCTTTTGGCGGCAAAATGAACTTTAATGCAAACTTCAGGCCCACTCGTTCTACTTATAACTACTACAAGAGTAGTGCTTTGCATTGAAATGGGCGTGAAGAGTCCTTCAAGTAAATCTTAAAGAGTAATCTGTTCACGAATTTCTATTGATAACCAAAATTATGCTCTTTCTTCTGAATGAAATTGCCTTCGTGCTACGCAATCCTGCGCAT